GCCCCCACCACCCGCGCGCTGTGGGACGCGCTGTTGCAGTGCGTCCACGAGGGCCTCGGGGCCCTCCCCGGGATCGCCACGACGGTTTACCTCCCCGGCCTCCTGAGCGCCCCGCACGACAAATGGCTGGCCGCCCTGGGCGACCCGCGCTGGCGGCAACAGGCCGCGTCGCTGCGGGTGGTGGGGTATGATTGGAACCCCAACACCATGGCGGTTGACCTTCCCCACCTGCGGTCTGTTTTGACGGAATCCGACAAGACCCCGGAGGAGGGGCGGGCGGGAAAGGCACGGGGCGTTAATCTGGTGGTGCTCGCCGCGTTCCGAGGGCGCTTCCCGGTGAATGCGCAGGAGGTGTATCGATTGGCTAAGGAACATACGTTGGATCGGAAAAAGAGGTGGTCGCTCCGATCGAGCACGACGGTGGCAACTTTGGTCGAAACGCTAGTGGTGGAAATCCATCTCCCAACGATGCGGACGCTCTCGGTCAGTAGAGAAGTCGGCGCGGGCGACGCTTCGCCGGACCTTATCATCACTTCCTTTGATGGCCCAGGATTCTTTGGAGGTGCTGTTGCCTACTCCTCCAAGCCTCACCTCGCCGCGGCTATCCAGAATAATCTGAATTCTTTGCCAAACACGGGCACGGTCCAAAAGATGGAATGTTTGCTCCGGCATGTGAGTTTGTTGATGATGTCAAATCGCCTAGATTATGGATATATGATTTCGGTTATTACTTCCTTCCTTATGATTGGAAGGTTTATGAACCGGCTCGCGGTTGCTGTAATGTCGAACTCTGAAAATGTAAGTGACAAGAAGTCAAATAAATCCATAGAGGTGATACGGGCTCGTGCAATTGACGTCTTGTATGATGCGACTATAGTTCGTAAAGAAATTCGACCGCGGCTCCCCACGTTGCCATCCGTATTTACACTTCCAACGTGGCCGAAGAAATGTCCCATTCGATCCCCCCTTCGCCTATCTTTTCCTGCTCCCCCAACCCCCTCCACAGGGCTTGACAAGGGTCCACCACGATGCGAGGCCACCGATTGGATTCCCACATTTATCGCCGAGCAATCCCAACGCCGCGATGCGGAGGCCCTATCGTTGTGGTCCTTCCTCTACTTCCTCCCTTCTTACATCCCTGTCATCTCCGCGGGCGAACCGGAGGACCCCGAGCGGTGTGTGGAGGCCGCGGCCTGTGATATCGTCCTGCGGGCGGAGTGCCCCGCGGAGGTGGTAGCGCGACTCCATCGCGAAGGCTTTGCCGCCATCCAGGCCCGCGCCTTTCCCTATCCCCGATCCCTTTTCTCATCATTCCCAGCCCTTCACGAAGAAGAGGATCCCATGGGGAGAAATCAACCCCCCGCCAAGGTCGACCCACCACACCTTATTCAAGATGTGGTGTATTTTACGGACTGCCCGCAGTGCGCGAAGGTGGCGGGGAAGCTAGTATTGGTGCCTTTGTCCCCTCGTATGGGGTCCTCCGCGCACGCGCATCTGCTGATGGTGCTGGCAGATATGCCCCTGAAGTGGTGGGGCGTGGAGACGCCAACGTTACCACCGCGGCGACGACCCTACGATACCCCCGCGGTACGAAACCTTCTGAATGGGATTATCGCCCGCCATAGAGAACGGGCTCTTCAACATTCGAAGGATGGCATTCGGCATCGGGCCTGCGACTATGTGATGCCCTGGGCACGCGATCGAAAAGACAGCAACGCGATCAAGATCACATGTACTCTTGATCAAACCCCTTTGATGCAGCACGATAAGTCAAAGGCGGCCGACAACGATCCGCGGCTTTCTGATATACGTGCTTCTGAAAATGCCCTCTACAAAGAATATCCACCCCTTCTTACGTATCTGCTTTATGGCACACAAATCGTGTATATGATGGCTTCCATGCTTTAGCTTGTATTGTCTGCATGGTTTTATCTTTAATAGGTATTATTACATACCAATATTATCGTCTCGTCCCCTTCCCATTCTTTATTTCTACGATTGAAAGCTAAATGTCTACTAATCACGACTCTAAATGAATTGTCTGGGAAGCATAAATTATTAGAATAGTTCCCAGAAGACTTCGTCAAAAAAATTTAGTCTGTTCAAATGAAAGGAAATAGAAAATTGAAAAGGTGTGGAAAATCTGTACTTTTTTTCACATGCATGGACTGAAGTAAAGTGGCACTGTTTTATCACTCGAAAAAAAGTACTCCTCCGAATCTCATACGAATATATGAGGTGGCTGGTGTGAAATACTGAAGGCAAAACCATTTTGATGTCAAAGTAAAATCATCCGTTTTTTTTTCTTGCAACATATTATTATTATTATTTGAATGGGAAAAAAAATAATGTCCGCTTAGTTCAAAAAGGACTAAATAAGGGTTTACTACATCTATGTGCGATCCTTGTCCCTCGGAATAGTGAATTTTCCGTAATTTTTCTCAAAAGTTATTTTTTTTTATGTTTTGGATAATAAGGAATACATCAAAAAGAGCATGGATGGCTATTCAACACTGCTGAACTTTTACCTGATGTCCACCATCAACACAGGGAGCACCCTGTTGGACATGTTTCTTGCCATGCTTATTCCCCTTGTGTACAACAGCATCCTTAGAGTTATCCGCGAATATGTGTATACTCCCATTCAAAGAGCCGTCCAATGTTGTTTTAGTAGCAAAGTCAAGACCTCCATTATCGTCAACTACGATACCATGCATGGCATCTCGCTGGATCTAAACGAAAATCCAGTGCTTCAGGAAGCGCTAATGCACTATGTAGGCAACGTGGTAAAGCCTACGTACCCATTTGGAAGTTATCGGTTTACCCGCCTCGCGGCGAGTAGCCCGACGGCGCGTAATGCCTCTCTTGCCGACACCCTCCGCCATACCTACTTTTTGCAGACCATCCCGAGCAGTGAGAAGGCTGTGGATCTCAGCCCTGGTCTCGCACTCTGTATCTACGAAGATGACAAACAAAAGAAAGAAAAAGGTCCAAGGCAAAATCATTCAGCGCCCATGGAAGCTGGAGGGCACACCGACACCTCAGACTCCCATGGAAAGAGCTCTAATAAACAAAAGAAAACCACCTTAGTGTTCGAGACCAACCCTTTCGCACGCGAGGATGCCGTGATGTCGTTCACTCAAAAGGCGTTTCAGGTCTACAAAAATGACATCAAGCGGGCGGTGGACTCTGAGCGGTACATGTTCCAGCCACTCTTGGCACAAAAAGGGATGCGCGATGGGAAACTCAATGGGGTGATAGGGCCCACCTCATGCCAGCGCTACCGTCTCTCCCTCGAGAAAACCTTCAATACGCTCTTCTTTCCGGAGAAAGAAAAGCTTATTCACCTTATTCATCAATTCGAAAGCCGCTCGGGAAAGTTTTCCGTCCCCGGTTTCCCCCACAAGCTAATTCTTCTCTTGTACGGCCCGCCTGGGACGGGAAAGACAAGCTTGGTGAAGGCCATCGCCGCGCACACCAATCGCCACATTCTCTCTATTGTCCTTTCTCACATTGAGACCAACCGGGAGCTTTTAAATCTCATGCACGACGGTCGGTTTTCTGTGATGAACGGAAAATCTGACGGTCATACCAATCGTGATGTCATCACGGAGAATCTACGACCTGAAAAGGTGATTTATATGCTAGAGGACATCGATGCGGCCTCGGAAGTTGTTCGCAGCGTAGAAAAGACCAACAGTTTGAGTACGGAGAGGCAAGGAGGACGCATGAGCGGCATTCCAAGCGTCTCGACCATCGACGAGGATACGACAGTAGTGGCGCAGAACAGCAATAATACCATTACGGAGACCTCCGAGGGCACAACAAACGACGAGTCTAAGTCCCAACAAACGATCGAAAGGGTGTTCATCTCAAACCATAACAAAAGCCAAAGGCACTTAGCAAGTATGGTGGAAGATCGATTGAGTCTGAAGGGGCTCTTGCGGGCTTTGGGTGGAATATTGGACGCCCCAGGCCGAATTGTAGTTTTGACAACAAACCATGTCGATTGTCTGGCGCCCGCGTTGTTAAAGCCGGGGATTGTCACGATGAAACTCTATATGGGCAACTTTAACGCGGAATGCGGGATCGAAATGATCAAGCACTACTTTCGTGATGACTTGGACGATGGCAGCGATGCTGATGGTAATAACAACGACACAACCACAAGCAAGAATTTACCCAATAAGAGCGGTCGTAAACCCCGTCAAGTGATTCTAAATGAAATCGGGAATGTTATTTTAGACGCGCAAAAATCGGGTGCGGGATTCAGTCCGGCAGAAGTTGAGCAAATGTGTGCAGAAAACAACACATTGGAAGAACTTTTCGAGGCTCTGAAGAGGGGTAATCGTACCGAATCCTTCTAATAAAGTAAGTAAACCTCAGGAAGAAGGAAAATGTCAATATATAAGCTGCATGAGACACTACCCATGCGGTAAATGATCAAAAGGAAAAGAATAGTGACAAAAAGGATGAGTAAAATCTATTGTTGATCACAGAAGGGTATTATGCACCTTGATTGAAGGGAGTTTTATCCTAAATCTTGGAATCCTCGACATGATTTCGGACTTTCCTTGAGACTAATTACAAACTGTAGTCGTTGTACTTGTATTCTACATTATACTTGCGTCATCTTGGTTTCTTTTCTGTATTTGGCGTTTGAGTGTGTATACGTTTTTCATATATGGTGAACGGGAGGGATACGGTTTTCTCTTTCAAATGATGCATCGTTCCAATTTAAGCAAAATAATGTGTAAGAAAAAAGAAACACTAGCTACTTTTGCCAGTGCAGGCAGATTTTCAGTCAGTATCACATATGAAGCGTGACGATTATAGGAACTCCTTTTGAGTACTTTTATGCAATTTGTGTAACATGAGCTAAGTCTTTGGCGAGGACGCTGGACATTGTGAGTCTATATTTTTCCATCTTACTTTCATCTTTTTCTGATAATTTGATAGTATTTTTAGTGGACATTAGTCCTCATCTCCTATGAAATTGTATTTCTCCAAGCTATCAAAAGAATAATTCTCATAATTATAGTAAAATTATAAAATCTAGAGAAAGGTGATGACCGATCCAACCAGGCGCGATCCTACAGAATTTTTGCGTGTGCTGCGCCGCATGGCCAACACCACGTCATGGCAAAAGGCCATGATCTTTGCCTTCAAAGGTCGTATGGTTGGGTATCGTTTAACACTCGAGCATTACAACACTATATTATTTTCTCAGGCAATGTGGGGGCGTGCGCTCGAGATCGTTCGTGTGGTGCGTGCAATGCAAGAAGACCGTGTACAGCCAAACGGGGCAACCTATTACTACATTGTGAATGGAATGGCCAACGCGGACCACGGCTATAACTTCGACTTTAAACTCAATCACCGTCTCGAAAAGCTCCAACACTGGCGTGTGGCGTTAGATGCACTCAATGCATGCGAGGAAAACGGTTTTGATTCTACGGATACAATGCACAATTCTGTTATCATAACTATGACAATACCGGGATTTAATCATTGGGAAAAGGCTTTGAAGGTACTGGACAAATTGATAAGAGAAAACCGCCAAATGCACCCCACCATGGTGCGATTTCTCCACGACTGTTTGATTCGAAATAAGAGACCGCGTGAGGCAAGTGAGCTCTTGCGCATGGCAGCAGAGAGTGGGGTGAAAGGATATGAAAACGCATGGGAACCAGACGTCTTCCGAGGTCAACCCCAATCTAAGGAAATTGAAGAGATGCGCAAGGATCCTTCCAAGAAGGCAGCCGCGGCGTTGCTCGCGCTACACCTCCGCAAAGATCAAGAGCTCCCTCCAGAAATGCTGCAAAAATTTCTCGAGGAGGATAGTCGGAATAACATAAATGCAGAGGAATCCGTTCCGATGCCCTTCACTGCTGGGCTACACTCAACAGAAATCAACTCAGCGTTTAGGCCACGAGTATACCGACAGTTATGGTATCAATGGCATCAAATTGCGAACAAATATCGCCCTAGGTCTTCGCTGAAGCGTCGGCAGCTTGCGCCAAAGGATTCACCCACAGGAATACCAGGGTGGAACCGAATTTAAAGGTGATAGAAAAAAAAGGGAAGGAAATGCTTAGCAAGCAGGAAAAAATTGCTATATCGACACCTTTTTACTTACTGTTTTCATCTGATGTATTTTCCTTCCATCTATTCTTTGACAATTGCCTTGTGTAGATCTTGTAAAATTCAACACTAACTGAAAGCATAACAATTTGAGATTTAATTCCCTATTTTTGCCTTTTGATTTCCACAAAATATTGCTCCTCAAAAATGGTCTTTTTCTTCTTTTTACTATTTTGTGTTTATTTGAAAGGAAGAAAGAGGGGGAGTCCATGCGAATCTGTCGCTACAAGTACCAATTTAACCGGGAGTTTCCTCATCTTTTTCCTTTTCCTCTGACTTCCCTAGCGCCTATGTTTAACCCAGTGTGTCTTCATCTTCCTTTTTTTTAAATCTTCGATTTTAGATTTAAGCAACCTGTTTTTGGTCACTTGCTTGTTGCCCACGTTAGTATAGACGCAAAAGAAAGTGAGGGACCCAAAACGACCATGTCGAGCTGGGCATCTCGGTTAGTTATGAACCGTAAGCCATTGCAGCCTAATGGTCAGGACGAAGGGGCTAAAAGACCAGTCATAAACAACAGCCCCCCTCGCGAGAGCCCACCAGCTAATTCTGTTATTTCTCTTTTAAGCACAAACGTGCTGTCCCCTATAGAAGATAAGCTCTGGCTTTCGAAAGGGCCGCCCTCTTTGGACGGCTCCCTTGATCTAGGGGCGCGGCCCAAGCTTAACCTGGACACGATCCTCGCGCTGCGCCTGCCCATAGACGTATGGGAGTACATTTCCTATTTTCTTTCCTACACGGAGCTTCTCCGGCTCGCCGGGACCTGCAGCATCCTGTGGTATCCAATCCTCCAGCGCGACAGCATCTGGGAGCAGCAGCTTTCCTTTTGGCATCGCAATATTATGGACCTTCGCTGCGGCGCCCTGCTGCTGACCGCCTTTGTCTTTGGCGAGAAAAGCAGCGGGTACGAGCGCTTTAAACGACAGCGCCGGCTCTACGCCCTGGATGCGCATCGGGAATGGCACTTTCGCGAGATGGAGAGCCTTGAAGACGCCAGGACGGGGTTCTTTACGGTTCCCCTGCACCTAGGACAAGAAAATACGGAAAGCGACGCGGCGGCTCCCATCGCATTGGAGCCCCTCTGCTTGAAGCTGGGCCGCGCGACGAAAGACCACACCTCGCGGGTGCCGATGCCAGCCGTCGGGCAGCCTTTTCTCGGCGTCAATGACTCCACACAAAGGCTGAGAATATGGCATCCGATACGTCCTGGTGAAGACTTTTCGAACGATTGGGTTAACGGTGCAGCTCCTAGAAACACACCAATAAAGCCCCAATGTGATTCAATGGGAGAAGGATTGGGGGATTACGTGCTGGATGCCCCGGCTTCGCTTGAGGAAGAGGAAGCGATGCTGAACTACGCTTTGGCATGTTCAGAAGCTGAAATGAGTGGCCTAGCGCCGCCGCCGCCGCTGTTTGCCTTGTCGTCCCATAAAAGTAGCAGAGGCAATACCTCCAAGGACAACTCTCGACTTTCATGGAGTGGTTCGCCGTTCAACCCTTCTCCGGGAAGCTCCTTTGCAAGGTGCCCTTGCATGAAACCAAGCGAAATAATGACTTTGATTGATATGATAAACAGCGGAACAACCGCCCAATCCCTCATCCCGCTTGTGGACACCACCAAGCGGGAGGACGAGCTGTTTCTGCTCGCCATGGGGGAGACCCTCAAAGGGGCGAGGCGGCGGCGACTGCACCTCGGCAACCACCACCGCGCGCTCGCCAATAATGGCCAGACGACGCGGCACCGGCTAGGGCCTCCCGCGGCAGGGACGAATCAAAGCCTTTTTCGCTCTCCCTCGCCCCCTTTTTATTCTTCTTATCAAACAGAAAGATCCCCTTCCTCCCCCGAAGCGGATATGGACGAGGGGAATGGTAGAAATGGAAATGGGAATGAAAACCGGCAAACAGCGGCTATGTCAGGCCCCACAACGCCATCCGCCCAGCTCCCACCGCCCCCGGTCAACTCCATGCTACGATGCTTTACAGGGGTGCTTATGGAGATTCACAAACGGGAGGCGTACCAGCTTTGTGAGAAATTCCTCGGCAGCTCGAAACTCCTTGACGACTTTATCCTCTTCCACACCACTATTAACCCCTGGTTATGTGGAAAGAGGGGGGGTAACTTGGCGTCGTCAGCGTTTGGCGCGGGAACGCGATTTTTTATGTTGCCGGAACTATGCCGGAACGGCCGAATTGGACTCCTTGTAGTGGATATGGTTCGCATGTTGATCATCGTGGAGGATGAAAAGACGGCGCGCGACGACCCCGCGTGGATGCATGGGTACGCGCGTGTCGACCGTAGTGGTCGCTTGGTGATGCCAGGCTCTGGACACAACGCGCAATACTATGAGCGTAGCGAACTGCGTCCGTTGTAAAAGGCTTGCTTGATGGATTTTTATTTGATGTTTCTGAATGGAAGTATATGTACCTAAACTCATGTCTTCCTATCAAAATGACAGAGGGGTCAAATATACAAATTCTAGCTATATATTTAGACTTACCCCATCATAAAGGAACCAATAAGAGAATTTTATGGAATAATATATTATACCTTCTATTCATGAAATGTTTCTATGGAGATCCAAGGGGATGGGAAAAAATCATGAAACAAAATGATACCAAACAAACACAAAAACCCTACTCATCATCGATTTTCTCAAAGTCGAAAAAATGGGAAAAACGCCAAGATAGTGACAAAAAGTGCCAACCCTATCAGTTTTGTCTTTTCTTCATGCATTAAGTACTAGACTAAGCTATATAACCACGAACAATAACCCATATCGGAAGGAAAAGTATTTGCTAATTCTCCTCCTCCACATTTCACATGTCTTCTGTAACCGAATCCCTTGTTCCTTATGCCATCCCAACACCAACGGCCGCAACCTCCTTAAATGCAGGAGAATACTTCTCTTCAATAACTCCTCAGACTCAAGCATTCGAGGCAAGCGATGGCGTTGTGCACATGGCCGTGAGTGGCTCTAACATGTGGATCGCCTTGGCAAATGGTGGCGTGGAGGTACGTGAGGTTCACACAGGCATCCTGCAGCACGTCTTTTCGAGCGCCCCTCGACCATCCAGCAGTACGAGAATCTGGTGTATCCTGTCGGTCCGCGCGTACTCCGTGTCGTCTGCCCACCCCCATGACAGCCACCTCAATCCCTCCGAGGACGAGGAACCGCAGGTCTGGCTGGGGCTCTCCACCGGGACGATTGAAATTTACCACGGGATAACCTACAGGTTGTTACAGCAACTGCACAAACACTTATCCGGGGTGTACTGCCTGGAAGGCTGCGGTAGCGGCTGGAAGGGCTGTGATGACGTCGTGTACTCCGGCTCCAGTGATTTCCTCATTGCTCAATGGAAGGTCAACGTCGGGCAGTTGCTTCGCATCTTTAAAGGTCATTCCAACTACGTGCGGTGCCTGTACGCGGAGGGGGCGACGTTGGTGAGTGGTAGCGACGATTGCAACGTGAGGGTGTGGGATCGAGAGTCGGGCGAGACACTGCGGGTTGGTAAATTTCATGCCACAACCGGCGGTGTGTCGGCGATATGCCGGGTTGGAGTAAAGATGTGGACAGGAGATGATAGCGGGACGCTTGTAATTTGGAAGATACGGAATTGTGCTGTTACGTCCACCTCTCACCCCCACAACGGGCGTATCACGACGCTTCAAAAGATTGGCTCGCGTGTATACTCAGGTTCAGCAGATGGGACTATCGGTTTGTACAACGCCGAGGACGAAGTGATGCTCGAGCAACTTAGCCATCACGCCGCAAGTGGCTCACGAGTAGTAATGGTGCGATGTGCAGTAGAAGTAGATCGCTACTACGTCTGGAGCTGTGGAGCGGATCAAATCATCCGTTGTTGGCACCATGATGAAGCGATCCCCATGAGCAAATTTAAAGAACGGCTCAACGACATGCGCTGGTACTATGAAACCTACAAACCCTATCAAGAGGCTGATGAGAAGCTGCTCGATACCCATCACGAGCTGTCGGAATATTTGCTCCTTTCCCAGGGTACAGAGGAAGACATTAAAGCCTACATCAGCTGCATACCATCAGACAAGTGCAGTACCGCCCTTAAGTGCAAAATCCTAGATTTTAAGGCGAACGAAGCGAACCAGCGTGTGTCGCAGCTGGAAATGGAAAAAAGCAACCTTGATAGCCAAATTCAAGAGCGAAAGAAGGCCCTAGAAGTGATCCAAAGCAACTTGAAAGCGATGACGGAAGCACTTACGAGTGCGCGCGCAAGTTCCTTGACTGCTGCTTCACCTTTGCTTACCCAAACCGTTACGGGGGCAACGACGGCACCGATCGTCCAGCCGTTGCGTCCTACCTCTGTGGAAGTGTCAGCCCCTTCGCCGGTGGTGCAGGTGGCTTTTAGCAAGAGCTACGAGCCGGTACTGAGCGGAGTGCCACCGCCTCTCCCATCCAATGTGCCTGTTAAAACTACCATCAAATAGTACATTAAGCGTCCTTAATTTGGAGAAATTACCCTAAAAAAAATCCTCGTGCAAGTCGCTGCCGCAAAAAAACACTAACGCACCGCGATTCCTTTTGATACCCTCCTTTGTAAAGGGGAACTATACTTCATATAGTATTACGTTTTCATAAATATATTTCTTTATGTTTGTGCATAGTTGAGGTATCGATATTGATTGAGCATTGCAAATGATTCTGAAAGTCATAAAAATAGATGAAAGATCCTTTATTCCCTTAAACATCAAAATAAATGCTGATCTAGACTATGGCCTCGCTTTATTCGTGTAAATACGGATAACTCGCTGCATTCTGATCAACGTGTATGTAAATGTGTAGTTCATTTACTCTTCTTCAACCTATCGATTTGGTGCTCCACCAAAAAATGCTCATCTTTTATCTACAGGAAAAAAGAAACGATAGTTATTTCCCCCAAATTACTAGTTTCGTCAAGTGTGGATCTCATTTATCATTGTCTGCACGGACTTTGATTGATGAACATGCTTGACAATAGAAACATATCAAGCGAGCAGCGGGAGAGTCTACGTCAGGTCATACCAATTTTTGATGAACATCATAGAACCTCCTCACAGAAACAACAGAGTTATAGTCCTTCTCACATAAACAAGACGACTGTGCCTTCCAAAAAAATGAAGCTTGCCCAACGCACGGGACCTCCCCTCGGTGCCGTGGATGGCAATAATAATATGCTTGCAGCGGGTGAACTAATTGTTAGTGATAAAGTGGTCCCTGTGGCATCATTGCCACAAGCCATGGCATCGTATTGTGATGTGATGTGGATTTTGTGTGATGATGCGAGATGTGAGATTCGAAATGTGCGAACAGCCGAGGTTGTGAAAAGACTTGAACGCAATGATACAACCAAGGCGGCTGAACAATCGCCGCTTAGTAATGATCGATCTCATCCACTCCTTCTGCATGTAACAAAGAGTCAAGTATCAGAGAACAACTACCCAGGCTTGGTGACGGGGAATGACGAAACTAAGCGCTTTCCACTCCAAATCTCTGCGATTTTGGTCCTTCAGACGTGCGTCGGTGGGCCGCAGGTTTGGTTAGGTCTCTCAGACGGTACGATAGAGGTTCATCACGCCAAAACGATGGAGCTGTGTGCCACGCTACGCCAGCACCTCGACGGTATCCTTTCCTTTGCCGAGTTCGGGGGTTTTGTGTATTCAAGTGGTAACGACCAGCGCGTTGTGCAGTGGCGCGCCGCGAAGCTTTGCTACGAGCGGACCTTCACGACGGCCCCAGGCCAGCGCGGGGCGGTGTGGTGTATGTGCGCCGAGGGGAACGTCTTGGTGACTGGTTCTGAGGACCGCGCCGTGCGGGTGTGGGATGTCGGCAGCGGCCGGCTGCAGCTCACTGGCTACGTCCACGCCAAGAGCGGGAGCGTCACGGCTCTATGCCGGGTCCGTGACGCCATGTGGTCCGGCGATGCGGCTGGGCAAGTGGTCTACTGGCAACTCCATACCTGTGAGGCCTTCGACGTCTTCAAGCCGCACCAAACGTCGGTCACCGCCCTTCAAAGGGTCGGTGGTCGCACCTATTCGGGTGCCGCAGACGGCACAGTTGCAATATTTTGCAACGAAACTGCGACGCTGCTGATGCGTCTGAATATGCATTCGAGAAAGCGAGTTACTGGAATTGCCTCCCCTGCTCAGCTTAGCCGTTATGTGATTTGGTCTGCGGACTCCCGCGGCTTCGTTCGGTGCTGGTATCAAGATGAGTACATCCACATGACGCGTGATTATGAATACTTTAGCGAAGCAACGTGGTATCTGTCTGGGTCGACCCCGTACCATGAATTCCGCGATTCCATAGCTGCCCACATCGAAGAACTTCAAAACCACCCATACAATAAAGAACACGACAGAATGCAAATTCATCCCAGTGCAATGCGGATTGAAGGCCCGGAGCTGCAGAAGCAGTACAGGAAGTTACAAGAACTGATTCCCATAATGGAAGAGCGTGTGGTGAAAGAAACCGAAAGTCTTCAGAAACGAAAAGCCGAAATGGGTCAGCTTGAAAAAGACCTGATGAACCAAATAAACCTCCTAGGATCCGCACATCACGAGCTAAACGCTCTCATGCCAGGTGCAGCGGACCGTCTAAAAGCTACACTGCCACCTCTCCCTTCAATAGTGATGCAAACAAATGCAGACGGGCAAATCTCCTTGTCATTGCCATCTGTGTCACTCCCTGTATCGAAACCATGTGCCTCTCCAACCGCTGCGCATTCGACAAGTTTTGCAACCACATCAGTTCCTCTGGGGACCGTCGCGCTCCCAACTAATTTGGTAACCACATCATCAGTGCCTTTGGCCTCCGCTTTACCCTCAACGAGTTTTGCAGCCCCATCAATGCCTTTGACCACCACTGCAGTATCCCTAACAAGTTTGGCAACCCCATCAGTTCCTTTGGCAACTGCCGTGCCCCAAACTAGTTTGGCAACCTCATCAGTGCCTTTGGCAACTGCCGTACCCCAAAGTAGTTTGGCAACCTCATCAGTGCCTTTGACTGCAGCCCCACCCTCAACTAGTTTTACAGCCCCATCAGTGCCTTTGGCAACTGCCGTGCCCTCCGCGTATGGCGTCGGTGGTTCTCTTCAGCCGCCATCAATCCCACCGCCGCCACCTGCGCGAAGCGACGCAACTCACGCCAGCATTCTCACACCGGCAGCGCCTGCTATTGCTGGAAGTAGTGGAGCTGGTTCAGCAGTCCCACCGACCCAGAGCGGGATTCCCGTAGGAACTGATGCGATAAAGGAAAAAGAAAGCGCTAATGCTTTACTGTCGATTCCGCTGGATTTGGGGAGCAAGATTTGGAATGGGGTCTCGTGGGTAAATCCAAACGTCGGGAACTATATTCAGCGACGGTACTACGGTGCCGAACCAAGTTTGCGCACGCCGGATATTATGAAACGGATACAACCGAAGCGTCTTCCAGAAATAAAGGTTCTCCCTCTCCAACGTAGCAAAAGCACTGAACCAAAGTCCGTGAAAGGTAATAAAGAGACACTTAAGGCGCGTTAGATATGTGTCAAACAATGGTCACCTGAAAGTGTATACAGTTTTGTAAGAAAAATTGTAAACACATTCATGTGTCAGTAGATATTTTATATAGACTAGAGCGGTAAAGGACGCAGCCTAAGAAGGACTTTGATGGGTAACCAAGCAATAAAAGGGCGTGAATAGGAGCAAGAGTGAGGATGAGGATACGCATAGTAATGACACAAAAAACGTGGATATAGAATGGCTACACAAAAAAATCATAAAAATAACTTTTTCCAATAAATAGATATAAACCTTATACAGTAGATCCAAGTGTTTTTCTCTTTATTGTTTTCTTATTTAGTGAAAAAAGGAGCAAATAAAGTCGAAAACTACTCAAATGTTCATTTTTAAAGCCTATATAGAGGTATGTGAAGTCAAAGAACATGAATTATACGTTATGCAAAACTCATGATGGTAAATAGAGAAGCTGAAAAATGAATCGTTTTTTCGGAGGGGAAATTGTTCAGGAAATAATTCACAAGCTTCAATTTTCTCTTTTAATTCTCAATTTAGTCAAAATGTTGTGTGAATGTATCAACTATTAATGTTTTTGTTTTATTCGTTTATATTCCTTTGTTTGGTTAAGTTCCCTGTCGTAAGCACATTCTTTATTGATTATGTATGGCTCAATGATAGTGCCGCCACCACTGCCTAGTAATGTCCCTCGCCCACCCCCCTGTGTATCCATCCCCACCCCTCCAGTCAGTGCCGCAGGAAAGGGTAACTGCAATAGTGCAGCTGCTAAAAGCAGCAATGGCTCCCTACTAGACATGACTGATATGTTTATCACCAATAAAAAAATTTCAAAATCCCCACAACCACTGGAGTCACGCTCTAAAGAAGCCCCAATAGTGGAGCATGATGTGAAAACAGCCCCAACGGGAGCCCTGCTAAATAACGAGAAGACTTTACCCAAGCTTAAGACGCCTGACGGCACAACTCTCCCATCCAGTGTCTCAGCTGGAGCACATATCAATGCTGATCCTAAGACGCTGCCATTACGCACTGCGATAATCACGACGCCCGACACAGAAAAGACGGTACCGCACACTGTAGTAGAAAAAAACCTGAGTTCTGGAGAGGTCGGCGTTGTCATTGCCCCGACCACCTCGTCCAGCTTGATTATCACGCCTCCGCTACACGTATGTATTGCTCCCCGCACACTGGTGATGAACAATGAGGTGCATACAGTTGTAATTCCTCCAGCTTCGACTACCGTGTTGCTGCCACGGCACAGCGCCCAGCACAAAAGGAAAAGTCAGAATTTTAGAGGATCAAAGCCGCCCGCGGCGACAGGGGTGACAAAAGATAAGCTTACAGCTAAAGCAATCCAAAAAGAGACACAAGAACAGCTTATGTGGGAAAATTTGTACGATCTCCGGCCTTCCCCATCAGCTACGTTCCACCATATTGATCCCGAGTCCACGTGTGGCTCAGAATTATTTATAGGGCACACTAGAATAAGAAGCTCAGACGAAAAATGGCGCGGGGTGTACTGGAAGCATGTCGATGTGCACCGTTATATTGCACGACACTACTTTGGTGAGCCGCCGAAAAAGAAGTAATGAGAAAAAGCTTGTATATTACTATTTGTAGCTGCGAATGGTTACGCGTTAAATTTGCTTCTATTTTTTCATTTTTTTTTTTTGTGTATGTGCATATGTTCCTGAATCATGCCAATAATATATTATCTAAGAATAGATCGGACATTTATGCAAAACTGAATTGATAAACCGCTTTTATTACTTTTCTTCCACAAAAGGGGAAGATTAAAGAGAGGAATCCTACATTTATATGCTTAAAATGTTTTGAGGAGTTGTTGTTCTTGAAAGTATCCTCTTCTCAGAAAGGCCAACTGTATTGTTATAATCCTGTACTTTTAATCTACTCAAAACTTCGTATACCTCCGTCTCGGAAGGTTTGTCATAGCTACTGCGTAATACAAAAAAGTTATCCACACATGGTTTATGCACTCATCACACAGCTATAAATAAATTAATGAAATCTACGTCATGTTACCGAGCTGTGCATGCCTTTGTGCGTGCCCCACACTACCGCACCATTCCAGCGACAGGCAATAATGGCGTTGTTGTGAACCGCGATATGCTTATTCGCCATTTTCGCGACTTTTATCGAACCCTTCAACACTCTAACCTGGTGGACAAAGTCCACATCATGTCAGAGCGTCCTAATATTGAGAGCTTGCGCGTATCCGATGTGATGTCCTGTGTTGGGCCCACATTCCTGGGCATGCCTCTGTATGGCATGGAGCATCGGGCAACCGAGTTTATGGACACAATTCGCTACATACGCGGTGCGGGCGGCCCAACGAGTGCCTCGACCTACCTTCAAGATAACGAGAACTGTCGCTGCCACAGCGGGGATATTGTGTGCCTGCCCACAGGCATTACGGTGGGGCATGGCCCCCGAACTAATGCTGTGGCCCATCAAATTATCAAAGACCTTTTTGAGGTAAAGGGGGACCCCCATATGCAATTTGACGTCTTTGCCCTAGAACAGGAAGGAGATGCACCGCCGCTTGGGGACTACTTTGGTTTTGCCGGCAATAACGTGCTACTGGCATGGAAGGATGAACACGGGCTCCTGGCGGTTGACCAGTACCAGCAACAGCGTGCAAACACTGGTGCAAGCGAACAGATGCAAATCGCTTACTTGGAGTCTGGTTGTCATTTCTTTAGTTTTTACGGCGTCGATTACTCGACAGACGTCATGGTGCAGAAAGGCTATGAGCGATCGATGGAGAGCATTGCCGCGATAGGTTTGAATCCCATTCCTGTACAGTGGTCAGAAATGACAAAGCTTGGGATTTCGATGCGCGCTGCAGTCCTATCACTGAACTTTCTTCAGCCAAGTTCACATGGTATGATGAATCGAAATAAGACGCATGGGACTCGGTGGCAATCGTATCAGATAACCTAATGCGAAATCAGACGTATCGTCATTATAAACATCGCGTAAAAAAAAATTCCGCAGTGTGAAACACAAAATTTAATAACTATAATGAAAGGAAAAAAGGGAAAATTCACCCCATGAATTGTTTATGGATTAATTTGAAGTTAATAATAAAGCTTAAACAAAATGTTTCTTTATATCCTCTCTGTTGGTACTTTTATGCATCTCTACACATCATTACTGTTGTGTTACTAATCCTAAAGCAGATACAAAAAACATGTACGACAATAGAAAATTTACAACTTGGAGGCAGTTATTATGGTCCTGTTTTTACACACACTCATTTACTGAAGATAAAGAACCTTGTGACACTACTTCAAAGACTACACGGGTAATGAGAGAGGATGACTTTTATGCATCTATGCGTGTTCTTGTTAAAGATGTGCGGTGTAATTCCACCTCATACTTCCCGAAAGAGAACAAAAGTGATGTCGAGTTGATCCTGTGTCAGTTGAGCTCCGTGGATATCCTGCGCCGAGTGTGGATCAAACTCATATCGAGGCAGAAAGCTCATCTCGAAAAAAAATCATGTGATAAGAATCTAAATAAAGGAAAATCATGCATATTACGGCAAATGCACAATCATGAGCAGGTGCAATATTCAAATGGTATAAAAAAAAAATCAATGATGGGTCCAGCCGCCAGTGTCGAATGGGACGTCTTTAGTGCCGTTCTGCTTACCCACATAAAAGATGTCCTGAACTTGCAACAGAACCCTGTGGGTAGCAAGAATTATGTAACTGTAAATTCCAACTCTGACACGCTTATAGATTGTATTGTCGACCCTTTTGATAGTGACTGTCATCTTAACCGTTCGCATATAAGTTTATCAAGAGTGACCATCTCTATGAGCTCAGTAAGTAATTCGGATATATCAAATTATAGTAACGAATGGGGGCCGGAAGCCGTTTCTGACCTCGATCAAGAGCTGAGTCTCATGTTAAAAACTGGAGAAATCGATATTGCCTGTGAAGGTTTTCCTGACACTGTAGAAAAACAATGTCAGGAGATGAAATCAAAATCATCCCAAGACACCCCGCGCTCCGTGTGGTCCTCACTTCTCAATATTGTTCTTCCCCCTGTCCTGAAGTCTACGGTTTCGCCAGATCTAGAATCCCATCACTGCGGGATCAAGCACACTACAATTAATCCTTCGAAGGGTATGAGAGCTGTTTCTACCACCGAAAACAATCCGGAGCACGTCAAAGGGGGGGCAAATGGTACAAATTTGCTAGTTCCGCCATTAAAGAGCAAAACCCGTACACTACCTCTGGATAACAATATTGACAGTATCCCCCTGGGTACATTGGTGCCGCCTGAAACTGGTAATACTATAGTCGAAAGTATGGTGAATAACAGGTCAGAACTGCAGACCATAGATGAAAGTTGTGGAAAGTTTGTGAACACAAAAACTTATATGGTGATGTCTACACCACAGAACCCCAATCCTCACTCCGAAGGACACTGCATTTCTATACAGCAGCGCTTCTCTACTACTATCAATGATAAACAACCGCCTTCAGCTTCCAAGAAGTTAATGCGAAGATGGACCTACCCTTTCCTGGAGGTTTGTTCATCAAATAATAAACCAACGCAGCTGGACAAGGGCTCCTTACCGTTGACTTATCCAACTAAATCCAAAACACGTGAATTGTTGTACATCACAAATCCTTTCAAATTTCCTTCAACAACAACCAGTAGTGGTAGTGTGATTCATTCCCAAGAGCAGGAAGTCAACGGAAGGCATTCTGCAGGCATTTCGCAATATCCAGGTATACAAATGTCACCCCCAATTAGTAAACTGAGCTTCTCGTATAAGGTGGCTGATGATTCTAAGAAAAGCCCCGACTACATCTACAGCGTAATAGCGCCACCTCCATACAGTGGCTGCGATAAGCCCTCAAAGGAGGTATGTTCCATAAATCACACTCCTACTAGTAATAGCGTGGATGTGATGGGCAATAGCAATGAACGTGGTGAAAACTCCTTCAGAACGGAAAATTGTTCTAAAGAGTTAGCGACTGGCACCACCTATAAGACACCTGAAGAAGTACTAACGCCCATTGCGCCTTTGTCGTATTCCTCTTCCCCAGTTGTAGAGGCAAACCTGGTGTACCAACGATACGCATCTCAACCCTATATAAGTGGTGGCTCCTTTTCTGTAGGTGCGACGTCTAACAAACGCAAGTGGAATGAATTATCACAAGTGAATCGATGTAAATTAAATGGACTCCTATCCCCGCCAGTCACAATGGATCAATGGCAGAATTGTGTGGATAGTAGGTCACGAGAAAACGCGTCATACAAAGCGAATTGTCAAAAAAAAAAATTGCTAGTAAATCAACTTGGACTATTGACAATCAAAGTATTAAAGAAGGTAAGAAAAAGAATGGGGAAGTAACATTAGTGTCTAAACCCTTCAATCAGTCGAAGGTTCCAAGGGAAGAAAAAGTTAAGCCTCCGGCGCAACTTTCCAATCGTGCCAGAGAACGCACCCGTTTCATGAAAACGGACTCTCTTGGATATCCCGAACAGACCTTTTTCGATCCTCCAGAAGTACCCCTTACACGATGTCACTCTATTTATCCATAAGAATAGAAAGCTACTGAAGGCAACACATCGAAAAAGTTGACAATGGTGTTTAAAAGAAAATTGTTTTATCAAATAATTCATTTAAAAAAATAAAGAAAGAAAACATAAAACTTGGCTTCTGGCGCGATCATTGTATTATGAGTGAGATTTCAGCGCATGTCACTCGCGCAAATGTCAAAGAGGTGTTTGGATTTTTTTGCTTTTAGGTTACTGTTCATATGTAGTATTTAAAGATCAAAGGAGCTATGAATACTGTAAGTATATGTATAGTTAAGTATATTTTGTGTGTTTATGTATGTGTGTGCACTTTATTAATAGTTTTCATATATATTTCAGTGGCTTATACCACATGTTCCACTTTTTTAGACATATAATAAACCTCCATATGGAACAATGTATAAGTATTGTATACTTATACATTTCATTTTTTTCATCATATTTGTGCACGTATTGTCTTCTCTTTTTGAGTACGAACTAATGAACGTTATCTTGATTTCATTGTTTTATTTACCTTAAATTTATTTATTGGAACTGTAATAACCACGTTATTTTTGTTGTGTTAAAGTGCTTACATACATACTAGTTATTGGTTTGCAATAGTTTAAGCTGTTTGTAGTATCAAGTGCTGTTGCTTCGTTACAATATGCCCAATATCATGTTTTTTTGGATCGAATCTATTCATAAGCGGAATAAAATTTACTTTATATTTCATAAAACATGAGACAGTCCTGATTTCAATGCACTTGAACTGTATCTATTCATTTATAAGTCCTTTAGGGTAGGCAGATAATTTAGGTATAAAGCTAATAGAACTTCAGTAAACGCTAAAGAGCAATATCATTGAGAATCGAAACGTATTCCTCAAAGAAAATTACGAGCCTCTAAGAAAGTGAAAAAAGAAACCACATTGTGTTTCCATTTTCGCATGTAGGCAGTACCATACCGTACCCATAAAGCAAAATTAAAAAAACCTTCATTGATCTAATGCCGTACCTTCTCAGTCTTCCAAAGAGAAGTGGTGTAGGGGCGACCTCTCTTCCCATCCCATCCCCACCCCTGTCTGTCTTGACTGCTCCATATCTACGGTTGAACAGCAGCAGTTGGGGAGTTCACACGGGAGTGGGAAAAGACGCCGGCGCCCTTTACTCCACCCGACGGGGCATTCGAACGGTAATAGCGCCCCGCCCGGCCGTCACCACGCTGGTTTATCTCAATAACATGGGCACTCGAATACGGGATGGCACCGAAACCAACATCTCCCTAATCCGAACGCGCGATAATCAATTCTACATCCAACGCATCTTGCCAGACGGCGAAGTCGTGCGGTGGTACGCGCCGGGGCTGGAGCATCTTAAACACGTCACGAACTTTGATACCTACTCGCTGAATGTTATTGACGAAAATGGTGGAATAGTGATCCCGTCGGATGTGGTCCCCAGCCCTCCGAGCGAGAGCGCATACTACTTAGATGCGATTTACTACATCAACCAAATCCAGGCGGTTCGGAAATTCACGCGCAAGGATCGCCGGCGTTGGCATCGGAAGCTTTTTATGCACTGGAAAGAAAGCCCGGAGAAGTTTGTCAACCACACAATCGGGACCTACGGCATGGCGTCGCTCGTCATTTTGTGGGTCCTCATCCGGGGCTTTCACAGCCTCAAGAACAAAAAGTCCTTTTGGGATGCGGATGTGTACAACAGCCACGGCCGAACGGAAACAGAGCGGCAGAAAAAGGATCCATGGTTGAAGATCAAACGCTTTTCCGATTGCCATCCCGAGCACGAGGGAATGGATCTGACGGTGGCGATGTTCTCTCCGGGCCAATCGCGGCTCTCCAGCGCTCGCGCCGAGCTTCGCGAGAGCGACTTTACCGATCCACACTACCACAGTGAGTTTTGGTGGAAAGTTCGCCACTGCCGGTACTACGGCCACTGGCCTAAAGGAATAGCGGAATGATGGGGATTCCACCGAAATGGATGACATAGCTGGACTGGGGTTAATGGGGATGAGTGTAGGGGTATAACATCAATTTAAAAAAGTGTTGTTTTATTTAGAATATCGTATCTGGAGATTCCCCCCCTCTCCCCCTAAGGGTAAAGTTGAGAGCGCATAGGGGTTATAGTGTTTTATACTGCTAGTTTCATATTCAATGTTTTATTATCATATTATTTTTATTGAGCATTTGTGCTTATTTAAGAGTGTGCATATACACTCACAGCTTACGATCTTTCTATCATTTCCTTTCGACGCTAAGCACAGACAACAACAATATAATCAAAAGATAGTAATAGCAACACTAATGTCTCAGATACAAAGTATCATCCAGCGAATCTTTGGCAATCACAAACTTCCCACAGATCTTCCGGGTGAGGAGTATGAGAAGTATATGCAAAAGAACATCCCTCAATGGGTAAAGGAGTTTGAAGATGGCGGCTTCCTGGATAAGACGAAGCTGCCAGAAATCCAAAGCGAAGAGGAATTGATTGAAAAGCTTCTTTTACATCGTAACGACCTGATGGTGATAAAGTACTGGAAACACGGGTGCATTCCCTGTCTTGCATTCGCTGAAATGTATAAAGCGGCAGCCGAAATGTTCACTAAGGATACTTCACCAAATGCAAAGCGTGTCTTTTGGTATAGTGTAGACACCAAAGCATTCAGCGCATGGCAGTTAGCTGAACGCCAACTCATTTCAGGCACTCCGACCATTCAAACCTTTGCCAATCAGAAGCAGTGCGATGACGAGATTAAGGCCACAAATATGGATGAACTGATGCAAGAAATCCGAAGACGAGCCGAGAAGGAATTACAAAGCCCCTTTAGTTAACTAAAAACGCAAGAAAGGAAATACACTATATCGTATTGATGGCAAATAAATTTATAAAGATCTTTCATTAAACTTCAATAGACGAACCCTCGCGTTAGCAATCCTATAACATGTCGAAAATGTGGAATAGGGAAAGTAGAAGTTAATCGCTGCCGATGTTGATAATGACAATAATATTGGTGTCTCATCACAATCATTGTCATTGCTATAGTTTAGACTTTCTTCGCCTTGCTAATCAATTTCCATTGGCAGCCTACGTAAATGCACCTATAGTGTTTTTTTTTACTTGGGTAAAGGGGTGTTTACTTTCTCAACATGTTTTTCGTCTTCCTCAAGATACAGCCTAAGTGTGAAATGGATACAATTGGGTAAATATCGTTAACAATGGCATAAATTACTGGTAATATTCTTGGTATCCATTGATAAATCTCCCTTGACCTAGGGAAGCCCGCTAACATATAGAGTACAATGAACAACAGAGACTCATTAGCATCGGATATTAATAGTAAGCAGTTGGATAGGGTTTATACATAAATTCCGTAAGATTCTTTTTTATTTTATGGGTGGGAAAGGAGATACCCGGGGGATATTTAACCATAAAATTTAGCTGAGGCTTACACTATCATCTAGAAACGCGATTCGTTAATGTTTGCTCATTCACTTAAACAACTTTGTGTGGTCTGAGTCAAGGGGAACAATAGGCTTGTGAAGCTCACTGAAAAGTATTGTGACCCTTTTAAATGGTTATCGTCTGTGTGGCTTAACCATTGTCTAAGTGCGCTTTCACACAGACAGACTTAATCGACCTTGATCGGATACTTCGAGATTCCTACCAATTAGACGAACAAAACCATTCTCAATAAACAAAATTTTGCGCAAGTAGGAATGAAAGGAATAAACCTGTAGATTTCTAACATATTGAATTTTGTTAGAAGATTAATATGTAAGGTTATCGTCTGGTTAATTCGTACTCTTTTTCGAAAAGCATCATGGCAGGGGTGAACAAGTAATAGAGACTATTGTGAATCACGATTTTCTTATCGCTACCTTGTCCAGAAGGTTTTGACGTGAAAAGAAAAGAGTGCCCTGCTATGCGAGGTGCGGTTCTGGATATAAAGAAGGACAAACAAGTAATCTAATGGAAGATTCACTTTTCCTCTTTTTCTAATTTTAGAGAATGCAGATGGATTTTACTATATATTCCTCACTTCCCCCATATTTGAAGTTCTAAGTATTCAAGCATAGGTCCACGAGACTCTGTGAAAATTGAGTCGTCCTTCTTTCTTGTTTCGTTCAGTATATATATAGTTTTTTGAATTAAGGAACTGCGTATTGTTCTTATTTTGTCGAAAGTAAAAAATATTAATTGCGGTATCAAAGGGAAAAAAAGGCACAGGAATTCAGCGCTGCGTAATGTCTCGGAATCGCACTGAGGTAGCGCCAATGCAAACAGATTCTGTTCGCAGTGGAAATACCCCACCTCATGTTCGTCCTTTCAGTAAAGGAGCTGGACAGCAGAATTCGCCTAATACCAACGGTAGCGTTGTAAATGAAAAACATAAGCAAGATAATAATCCCAGTCCTTTACTTGGGGTAAACCGTGAAAATGGTTTTAATATTTCCAAGGAACCTGTCATTGTTGATGGCATCCCCGACTATTTATCCCACCGAAATGTACCTTCTAAGGACTTGACCGGGACAAGACCTCCGACGCGAATTGGTGGTGACCATCCCACAACAGGTGGTTATAACCAACAAACAGAAAATCCACACTGCGAGAAAGCGAATTCCAATCTAACCCCTACCATCAATCGACTCGCACGTCTCAGCTACTTCTGTTTTATGTTTGGTTTAGCTGGTATCAACGCCTATTTTGGATCCATTTTTTCGGATAAAGGGATTTCCAAGCGATTCATAGGCTTTTTACTCACCATTACCCCTCTTTCCAGCGTGTTGATCCTGCCGATATTTTCGTTTATTGCCGATAAATATCACTGCTCGATTCTAATGTTGGTGATCGCCGTAATCGGCTCCACCATCTCGGTTTGGTTTTTCACCACAACCTCGAACCACGCCGTTCTGATCTCAGCCTTTGTGATCCTTGTGATATGTCAAACACCAGTGAACCCGCTGATTGACCGAAACATGCTCGTGATGTTCACGCCGGAGGACAAGGCCACCCGCTGGGCTTTTATCCGCTCTTTCGGGACGATGGGGTGCGGAGTGGGCAATGTGGTGGCCTCCGTGGCGGCGTATTTCTTTGGGTCGTGGTCGATTGGGGTGATTCAGTACACCGTGGGGCATGTCGGGATGCTGCTTTGTTTGTGGTTTATCAAATCACGGAAAAGCGCGCTCGAATCCACGAGGGGGCCCGACGCGGTGGACCTCGATCAGCCCGCTAACGACGACGATGCGGAGGAAAAAGTGCGCTTCATAGACATGGTTCGAATCTTAATACGGAACCCTCGACTGTTGGTCTTTCTCATGGCGGCCTCGGCAACTGGGATGGGCTACAGCATCGTCACTTCCTTTCTCTTTATTTTCCTGAAGGAACTCGGAGCGTCGGTGATTCTGTTTGGAGTTGCGATGCTGATGACGGTGTCGACAGAAATCCCGATTTTCCTCTGCTTTGAGTGGATCCAAGACTGGTTCACCGAGCGCACGATGCTCACGATCGCGATGGCGATGTGGGCGATCCGGACCGCGGGCTACTCCATCCTGCCCAACCCCTGGCTCGTCCTCCTTTTGGAACCCTTACATGGCATCACCTTCGGCTTTACATGGTTGCCAGGGGTGAAGACGATCTCGGCGGCCTTCCCGCCGCAATTGTCGGCCTCAGCGACGGGGGTGCTGTTCTTCTTTGTGGTGGGGCTCGGACCGGCCCTGGGCTGCAGCCTCTCCGGACTCTTGAACGACGCCGTCGGGAGCAAGTTAATGTTCCGAATTTGCTCCATCACGATGGTGGGGCTGATTGTGGCTTACCAGCTCATAGACCGAGGGTTGGCACGGCTGGGCTGGGAGCTCTGCGCCGTGGAGCCGGGGAGCGGGGGGAGAACGCCCCGGACGCGCGAGAACCCGTTTGGTGAGGATAAAAAGAAGGGCCAGGTGATAAATTCGGGCCCGATGAACCCAGAAAATTCCCGAAGCGCCTCAAAAGTGCGTCTGAAAGGGATGGGTGACAAATAAGCACCAGATTGGGCAAAATAATAAAAGTAATTAAAATAATAAAACATGTGTTTTTTGATGCGAAAATGTTCATTTCCTAAACCTAAATCTCGACTCATGTTTACATGAGTACATCTTGACAACGTTCTTTTTTCGAGGCATACTCTTCCTTATACCTTTTTGAAAGGTGTTGTTTTTGCATAATGTCCTCGTATGTTTTGTTTTTTTTACCTTACCTCAATGAAAATTTTCTTCTATAAAAAATCTCCTTAAAAGGTAATTCTGTTCCTGAAAAAAGTTATATTTATGATTATATCTAATGTTGACATTATACAAGACATGTTAACACTATGATCAATTCCATTACTTTGTTCACGTATATGTAAAAACATCACAAACCAATACACTTAAATGACATTTAGTTATTCTAATTTGGAACGGAATTAATAATTTACAAAAAAAAATTATCCTTCCTTTCCGTTTTTAGGGTATCCAAGCCCTATTTTGTTGATTATTTGTTAGACTCCGTTGGTACATCAGCTTCTAGAACATCGTGTTGGAGGTATCAATAGATTTATTCCTACACGCTTGTCGAATTTACATTGATAAGGTTATGCTTATGAAAAAGGAGGCATGGAAATTAAAGAATCCACCGCTAACTCCAACCAATCCGATGGCGTGAGTGCATCACTGGAAACGGAGCGCCAGACTTTGGATCCTGTGAATCTTCGACAAGGCTTTCTTACCAATCAACGAAACCATCATGAAACCCGTGCTGCCGATACAAACCTCTCCAACGCAATTCAGAGTCTGGGAGCGGGTGCCTCCATGTCCTATCCATCAAAAAGAAACGCACCGACTCTTCATGATGACGCTGATAAAATGTCCCAAAGGGAAACTCGCAGGCAGAAAAAAAACGACGCGCTTTCGTTATTCAAAATGGAATGCCTGGCGGCAACGGCCTTCCTGTTAGGCTCCCCGCTCCAACGAGATCAGCCTCACACGGGGGAGGCGGTGCAATTCTCGATGCGGCTTGCGTCCGAATTACTCGCCCGTGAAATTGATCCCGAACGCGTTATTGCTCTCATTGAATCCCACACTTCTCAAATTGATCCTTTACCATAGAAGATCACGCACAGGTGATGTGAATAGTGAACTATAATAATCTAGCAGATTTTATGACGTACCTTAAACTTTCTTCATTCTCCCCTCCCCCTGTGAAAATTCAACTCCATCGAAGTCCCGACCTATGATTATTTACCCCCTACCCTGTACATCCTTTATTTATGGCTATTTGATCCAGGACGCCTATGGAAAGACAGACAGACATCCTAGATCTCCTCACTTCTTGATTAGTGCTTTCTAGTTCTTCCCTATTCTACCATGTTGGGCCGCTGCAGGGGCTTTGGGTTACGTCGGCCGCCCAAACGTCTCCCGCGTTGGGCCCTTTGCGGGGTGATGGGCGGCGGCGTTTGGATTGTGGACTTCCTGACGGATCACTCCCCCAGACGGTTTTGTCGGGCGATGGGCGTAGTGATTCAGGTTGCGCTGCTCTACAAATACGCCACCCCGGAGACGCCGGAGGCGTACCTTCAGCTCCATCGCCGTGCGGCCCAATTGATTCTGAATTTATGCCTGGCGAACGAGGGGTTTTATATCAAACTCGGGCAGGGGTTGAACTCCATGAGCCACGTCCTCCCGCGCGAGTTCACCGACACACTGCGCGTACTGCTCGACCAGGCCGGCCCCGTCCCCTTTCCCGCGATCCGGCGCTGTATTCAGGAGGAAACCGGGAAGGCGATCGAGGAGCTTTTCGAAGGGTTTGAGGAGAAGCCCGTGGCATCTGCCTCGATTGCGCAGGTCCATCGCGCGTGGATTCGGGGGATGGATGGGAGCGGGGCCTTGCAGGAGGTCGCCGTTAAAGTCCAGCGGCCCTGCATCCGCCGACAAGCCCCTTGGGATCTCGCCGCATTTCAGCTTATGTCCTTTGCCGCTCAGTATTTATTTGGCCTTCCAACGGAGTGGGCTCGCAAAACTATCGTGGACGGCCTGCAATCCGAGCTGGATTTCACGCAAGAGGCCGCCAACGCGACCTTATTCCGCGATAACTTCTCCAACGATAAACGAATTTACATCCCAAAAGTCTACGACCGCTTCACGACATCCCGCTTGATGGTGATGGAATGGGTGGACGCGACCAAACTCCTGGATATCGACGCGATTCGTGCGCAGTTTTGTGAGAAGGCGGTGCTAAAGGTCTTATTCGAGTCTTTTAGCGATATGGTATTTAAATACAAACTCTTCCACAGCGACCCCCATGCGGCGAACGTGCTGGTGCGTTATAGGCCTCGCAATGGCAGCATCAGGAATCCCGACGTCGGGAATATGAGGACGGAGCCTCAGGCGCCAAGAAGGAATCGAAAAGATATCCAAATTGTTCTCCTTGATTTCGGCTTGTGCGTGCCCATCTCTGAGCGTTTTCGAATGCAATATGCCCTCCTTTTCAAGAGCTTTATTGAGCACGATATCGAGACAATCCGGAATGTTGTAAGGGAATGGGGCGTGAGCGATGAGAAGACGTTTCTCACCCTTCACATGCAGAAGCCGCTGACGCTGATCCCGAAAGGCCCCAATGGTGAGGTGAGCAAGGAAGAAATTGCCATCATACGACGGGAAGCTCACGCACGGATAAAGGGCCTCCTTACGGACGATTCTAAACTTCCGTACGAGCTGCCTATGGTGGCCCGGGGCCTTGATATCTTGAGGGGGAATAACCGCATGTACGGTTCCCCCATTAACTACGTTAAAGTCATGGCTAGGGGAACGTTAAATTGCTTAGGGCCAATTCACGATCACAAAGGAGTGCAGCGCTATTTGCAACATGTTCACCAACTTACCATGGAGCGCTGTGTTAGTCAAGACAGACAAAAAAGCTGGGCAAAGGAAGCGGGGATTGTGGAAAAATATGATGAAAGCTACGACCATTCCACCAAAAGTAAGTTCACCAGTGTGTATACTGAAGAATCGAAGCAATTACGTTCAGTGCAATCTATTGTGTTGCATGAGCTTGATTTGGAGCATAAAGCTTCTCTGTGTCTATACCTCTCATCTATGCTTGGGAGTCTATACCAATCAATTAAGTTTTATACGATATTACTTCGTTTAGACCTCATACATCGGATCACACAATGGTACAATACGTGCCTTACCGCGGTTGCCCCTGCTCGAGCGACGGGGCAACTAAAAATCCCCACCTTAGATGAGCTAATTGACGATATGCAGACAGTAAACTAGCTCACTCTTGGCGGGGAAGGTAAAAAAAATTCTAAGCAAAAAATATCGTGTTCATCCTTTATTATTACACATTTCTCAAATACAACGAAAACGTTACAAATAAGCAGTATGCACAAATACGTTGCCAAACAAAAAATTCAAAAATGCGTTGAATTCCTTTTTTAGATCGACAAATTTACTCGATTTTTTGTTTTCCACTCTTCTTGGGTACCTCGAAACAATGAAGAAAAGGGTTCCCAGTGCGTCGTCATTGTAACAAAAAAAAACATAACGCTAATATACTTGCTTTTTAGTTTTCTTTGTCGATATACAGCGAAATATGAGTGCTAGAATTACTCACAAGGAAAGTCTTCCAGGGCAAAACTACATCAAACGTCGACGAACCGAGCCAGGACCAATCTTTGCTGTCAAAAAAGATGAACCCCAAGAAGAGAAAGGGCAGATCAGTGATTCTCCCAACACCGATCCCACGCCAACAAGCACCATTGATCCCGTAGGAACCTTCGTAAAGGAAAAAGCTGCAGAAGACCACATCAAACGCACAAACTCGGCTTCACTATCCACATCGGAGGCGGAATCATCATCTTCGGACGATGATGATGAAATCATTGAACGAGAACGAGAAAGATTGGCCCAACTACACAAAAAAAATGTAGCCCCTGGCGATAGCAATCGCGAAACTGGACCTGGATCTATAGCGTCCGGTGGTACGCATACTAAGCTTGGGGATTACAATTACGATGTTCTCTTTCGCCGCTCTGATTGGCGACATAAAACCTCTGAAAAGTCAACTGATAAGTGGAAATCTGTTATAAATAACAAACAAGGGTCAGAACCGTTTCAACAATTCATGAAAAAACACTTCAAATAAACGAAACTAAATTCAGTATTACGGATAAGTGGGAGAGGGGAAAAATTTCATATGCCGATAGAAAAAATATATAATGAAAGAAAATTTAGTGTAAAAAAATCAAACATTGGTAGAAATGGTATCTGCTGGTGTTGGGGGATATTCTTTCAGCACTATTCTCCCCCCCCCC